CCCCCCCCCCCCCCCCAATCCGGGCACTGGGAACCAGGCCTTCCTTCCTCCTCCTCGGGCTGGGAAAAAATGGAGTGGGGAAAGATCTGGTGGGTGGGCGTACTAACCCTGTGTTTCCCTGTTTTGGGCACCTGAGGAGCGAGAGCGGGTTTGGGACACATACAACAGCCTGGAACAGGAACTGGGCAGCTTGAGAGAGACTCTGGAGTACCTGCTGCACCTTGGTTCCCCCCAGGTATACATACCCCTGCCCCAAGACCCCACACTCCACCCTCGGCTCCTTGTCCGCCATTGAAACCCTTTTGGCGTTTAAGCCCCTCCCACTTCGTTTCAAACTCCTCCCCTTACATCCTTTCCTTACATTTTGAACCCTTTATTGTAGTTAAGACCTTGCCCTTCGTTTTAAGACACACCTGTTTGGAATCACTCTCTCTTCTGGTTCTAAATCTCTCCTCTAATTTTGAAGCCCTGTCCTCTGGTTCAAAATTTCACCCCTCAGCCCTGCCACATCCTGTGTCCTGACTTTTGCTGTTTCATTTATCCTCTGGAATTTCTAGTTCCAAATCCAATCACTTGGTTCAAGTTTCACTACTTTTTTTTTTTTTTTTAATATTTATTTGTTTTTGAAGGGGTGGGGGGGAACGGGCAGAGAGAGAGGGAGACACAGAATCCGGAAGCAGGCTCCAGACTCTGAGCTGCCAGCACAGAGCATGATGCGGAGCTTGAACCCACGAATCATGAGATCATGACCTGAGCTGAAGTCGGAGGCTCACCCGACTGAGCCCCCCAGGTGCCCTATTTTTTTAAATGTTTATTTATTTTGAGAGAGACAGAGAGCACAAGCAGGGGAAGGACAGAGAGAGGGAGGGAGAGAATCCCAAGCAGGCTCCGAACTGTTAGTGCAAAGCCCCACTTGGGGCTGGATCTCACGAACCACGAGATCACGACCTGAGCTGAAATTAAGAGTCAGATGCTTAACTGAGCCCCCCAGGTGCCCCTAAAGATTTTATTTTTAAGTAATCGCTACATCCAACATGGGGCTTGAACTCACAACCCTGAGATCAAGAGTCACATGCTCCTCCAACTGAGCCAGACAGTCTCACCCCCTACCCTACTTCTTCATTCTAAACCTAATAATCAAGTTTCTAGATCATATATCTTTAGTTTAAAACGTTGACTTCTAGTATTAAATGCATACTCAGATTTAAGCGCTGCTCTCTGCATGTTAAATCCCTCCCCCTTCTTCCTAAAATCCACTGTCACTGCTAACCCCCCTCCCCACTGGTGGTAAAAATCACTTGGCACCAGCAGTATATGCAAAGAACCAAATTAGGTTTATTACAGGAATTCAAGGTTACTTTAACACTTGAAAATCAGTCCATGTATTTTTGTAAAAAGGAGAAAAGCCTTCATCTCAAGTCTAGCAAATAAAGGTATGAGGAGCAGAGAAAAAGAAGTAAACTTATTTTCATTTATAGATGACATGATTGTATATATGTAGAAAATCCAAAATAATCTCTGGATAAGCTAGTAGAATAAACAAATTCATCAAGGTCACTGAATGCGAGGATAATACGCATAAATCACTGGTCTTCCTGTATGTTAGTACCAAATGAATAGAGAATATTTATAAACAATAGTGTTTGTAATTGACATAAACAAGTAAAATATCCAGGATGAAATCTAATGAAAGATATGCAAGGCATCTATTCGGCACGCCATAAAACATCACTGAGAGAAATTAAAGAAGACTTATATAAATGGAGAGATATACCATGTTCATGGATAGGAAAGATACCATACTATAAAGATGTAGTCTGTCCAGATTGATTTCCCCAGTGGGGATTTACAATCCCAGTACAAATCTGGGAGGTTTCTGTGTAGAGATTGACAAAATGACTCTAAATTGTATCCATCAGAGCAAAAGACTAAGAGTAGCCAAGGCAACCTCCAAAAACAAAGCTGAAGGACTAAGGCAAGTGAATGTCATGTCTGTCTGCAAAGCTACAGTTAATAAGACAGTGTACTAATGTCACAAGTTTAGACAAATAGACAAAAGGGATAGAATAGGATATTCAAGAGCAGATTCACATATATTTATATGCTCTCAAACTTATAATGGAGATAACTGCAGAGCAGTATAGAAAAGACAGTGTTGGGGCGCCTGGGTGGCTGAGTTGCTTAAGCATCTGACTTCGGCTCAGGTCACGAACTCACAGTTCATGAATGCAAGCCCTGCGTCGGGCTCTGTGCTGACATTTCAGAGCCTGGCACTTGCTTCAGATTCTGCCTCCTTCTCTCTCTGCCCCTCCCCTGGTTGCCCTCTTTCTCTCTTTCTCAAAAATAAACATTAAAAAAAAATTTTTTTTTT